ATGTAAATTACCACCCCAAATTGTACCATACCCTTCATTACAAAATTGCTTTCTCGTCTCCTATAAAAAGAGACTCCCTAACAACTCAAAAATCAAAACATTTAAGATTGAATTAGCCATGGAGAAGATGACTAATAAACAAACTATCTTCTCAATATTTTCTCTTCTTCTTCTCTTTTCTTCATGTGTTTCTGCTCAGCTCAGGACAGGTTTCTACGGGAACTCATGTCCAAACGTCGAAACCATTGTCCGTAACGCAGTCCGTCTGAAATTCCAGCAGACTTTCGTCACTGCTCCAGCCACTCTCCGCCTCTTCTTCCACGATTGCTTCGTTCGCGTAAGCTACAATATTTATATACCATATAGGACCTTCTTTAATATAGAGTTAAAATTCATTCTTAAAACAAAAAAAATTTGTATGTATATAAGAGTTTTGATAATATTTTGTTACAATATAAACTTTACTTTGAACTGAAATTCTGCGCAACAGCTCTACATTTTCAAACAAAACGTTATAAATTGTTACTTGCGTTCTTATTTTTATATGAATTATCTATAGGGATGTGATGCTTCGATATTGATAGCTTCTCCATCGGAGAAAGATCATCCTGATGACATATCACTGGCCGGAGATGGATTTGACACGGTGGTGAAGGCGAAGCAAGCCGTTGATAGCAATCCTAACTGCCGCAACAAAGTCTCATGTGCTGACATTTTGGCTCTCGCCACTCGTGAAGTCGTCGTTTTGGTATTCATTAATAACATCTTTTTTTTTTTTGTTACATAAAATTAATATTCCTCTCTTTTTCGGTTTTTCCCCCTTAATATTATTATAGAATGTCCGTGGTACTGAAAAATCGTTTTTTTTTGTTTCAACAATATATATCGTTTTCAGTTATCGTCACCAAAAGCTACTCATACAATAATTAATATAAAAAGCATGCATGGTACCTCTTATTGGTGGTTTGTAAATTATTTTATAGAAGTACGATAAGTAACATGTCATATAGACGTATTATTGATAGATAATAATTATTATAATCGGATAATATTAAAATTAAATCAAAATTTGCAGACCGGAGGACCTAGCTACCCGGTGGAGCTAGGGAGGAAAGACGGTAGAATATCTACACAGGCCAATGTTCAAAATAATCTGCCACAGCCCGGTTTTAACCTAGACCAGCTCAATACCATGTTTAACCGTCATAGTCTCTCTCAAACTGACATGATTGCCCTCTCAGGTACGAAGCAAACCATCTCAAACCGATTTTATTTTTGTACATAATCCAATCTTTATAATAAAAAACAATATCGACCAAACTTGTTATATTATATCAAAGAATTAACGCACTAAAAAATTAACCGAATCTTTATGATTAATAAATGTTATTGTTATTCAGGAGCCCACACTCTTGGATTCGCACATTGTGGAAAATTCTCAAAGAGAATTTACAGTTTTAGTCCAAGAACCCGTATCGACCCAAGTCTAAACGGTCAATACGCACTTCAGCTTAGACAAATGTGTCCGATCGGGGTCGATCCACGGATCGCGATCAACATGGATCCAACCACGCCACGTACTTTCGACAATGCTTACTTCAAAAATCTCCAACAAGGAAAGGGTTTATTTACGTCTGATCAAGTCTTGTTCACAGATCAACGGTCTAGATCTACTGTTAACTTGTTTGCCAACAATGAAGGAGCTTTTAGACAAGCTTTTATCTCAGCTATCACGAAATTGGGTCGTGTTGGAGTTCTGACTGGTAATGCTGGTGAGATCCGAAGGGATTGTTCACGTATCAATTAGTGATTTGAGGTTTTTTATTTTATTCTATAAGAGAATTTCTGGTTTTTTCTCTTAAACTGAAATAAATTTCTTATTTTTTAATAAGAAGTTCAAAAGTATTGAAATGGAAATTTGAATTTATAAGATAGATTTATTTCGTTATAAGAATGGCCAAATAAAAATAGTTTGGATTATAAGAATTTCTGTGTGCATTTATGATTTGATTTTGTGAGAACAAACGTCTAACATCTCTAACCCGCTTGCCAAAAGACTAATAGAAACACTCAAAAAAGAAAGGAGTAAAAGGCTAGATGAAGTTAATTCTTACATCAGTTTGTATATA